TTCTAGAAGGACTTCGAGCAATCTTAGCCTATAGGAATTATTGGATATGTATGTGCCCAGTTTTACCAAATAAAGATGTTTGTTAAGTACACTAGATTTCCTGTTTTATTGACTAGGAGTTCTTATAAATGTGTGCATATATAGATTAAAACTATTAAGTTTTACAGATAAAAATTTGTCATTCTTCATCCAATGTATCACCTTAGCCTCCTTGGAAGTTATTATGGCAATGAAATATTCAGTCATTTATTTTTTACTCCCCTTTCACAAACTGTTTTTATTTATTTATTTATTTTTAATTCAGGATATTATGTTAATTCACTGTAGCCAAGAAATGAATAGGTAACTTTTCAAGTTGAGACTTTCCTCTTCTAGAATTGAGTAAATGTATCTTAAGTTTAAGTAATAATAAGCACTTACAATTCTATGATGATGGATATGATCTTAGTACAGGAATAGTTTATATATTTGTTTAAAGTAAACATTTCTTAGCTTACCTTGCTGGTGCAGTTCAACAGTTTTAATGTGCCTTGTGAAACCATTGATAAGTGGTGATCAAAATCGTCACTGTTATTCATTTTACGAAATTGCTTCAATTTGCGAGCAGCACGATATAGAAACGTACCTTCCTATTATAGGAAAAAGTCAGAAGGGCTGTGGTTCAAATAAAATATTAAGAAATGATAAGCTTTCTTAAGGAGCCTAAAGCCAGAGCTGTATTGCTAAGTAATGCCCCACCTCTGCCCCAGCCTTCTATTCCGGTTAATCACGTGACTGACAGGTAACAGAACAAAAACTGTTTAGCTCCTAGGTGACAGCATGGAGTGCCTAGAACTTGGTTTAATGATTATCTGACTCTTAAAGTCTTGTCTCCATTATGTATATGTGTTCTTATCTCTTAGGGGTGAATATATTACAAGATTATTCCATTTTAAACAAGATAAGCAAAAAAGAAGGTTTTTGAAAGCAATAATGATGAAAGGTAGGCATGATTTTTCTTAAATGTTATTTCTTATACTTTTTGAGCTATGAGTGAATAGCTGGTAATAAGAAAATAAAGGGCCATAGTCATCTAAAACATGTTTTTTTTTT